TACAGAACAAAATAGTTTCTCATTTAACAGTTAGTACACATGTTGCCCTATGACAATGGTTAACAACCTCACAACGTATCAACACTATCCTTACTAGAGTTGAGATATTTTTTATGTACGTGACAGACTAAAGATAGCGGACTAGGAATACTAGTTAGCCAGTTGCTATTGGCCATTTTGTTAGCTCAAATTATTTATTTAAGCTTTTGATACAAATCTGTGATTTACTTTTGGTAATATTTGCAGTTTAACAGTTTGTTTAGCAGCAATGAACTGGGTTTTTTTTTTTACATGCTTGCATTTGGTTATCGTGGTACAGTATATTACTTATGGCTATATTTTGCAGAATTTTTATTCACTGTCAATCTTAGTTGAAGGTAATTCAAAAGTAAGATGATACATATGATTTTGAGTATTATATATTCAGGTATCAAATTTGGAGTACAGTACTGTTTTTAGACATGTTTTATATAGAATGGAAACCCTGGTGACATAGTGGTTAAGAGCTCAGCTGCTAACCAAAAGGTCAGCAGTTTGAATCCACCAGGCACTCCTTGGAAACCCTATGGGGCAGTTCTACTCTGTCCTGTAGGCTTGCTATGAGTCGGAATTGACTCGACGGCAACGGGTGGTTTTTATATAGAATCATAATCTTAATGGCTATATAAAAAACGCGGAGTACATTACTCCATTTGCATAAGAGGAAAATGACATATATACCTCATTGTATATAATACAGGTTTTTATATAATTCTAGCTTTTTGTTCGTGGTTAAGTATCTTTTTTTTTTTCTTTTCCCCTAGCTACTACTTCTGCATTTGTGATGACAATATTGTATTTTGTGTGCTGTTTGAACATTTTTTTCAGACAATGTGTAATCCAAAATAAATACTCTTTGTGTGCATTTAAAAATATTTTTAAAGTAAACTCAGGCAGAAGTACTCATCCTAATCTTCGTTTTTTAAATTTATTTTGTATCTCCAGGCATTTCTGTGTTGTCCCCTGGAGCAGGTAGCCCTGCTTCTTGTCTCTTGCACTTTCCCTGTTCTTGAAATGTGGATATCTCTTCTCTACAGTTTACCTCCAGGATCTGGAATGGAAAAGGCCGCTTTTCTTTTTGTTCCACCTCTCAAATCCAACCCAGAGAAGCCTCTAGGATGCAGTCATCCTTCCAGCTTCTCCAAAGAAGAAACCAGCTGACATGGGTCTTCTGCTGCTCTTGGCTTAATTGTAAGGAAATTATTCTGAAAACTGAAGTCTGATGTTTACTTTGAAACTCATGCTTTGACGGTGGTATTTATGAATTCTTTACCTCTTGTTTTATACAAGAAGACTAAATAGCAAGCATGGATGACTTCAGGCTATTTTTTTGTTTTTTAAATGTCTTCCAGTTTCAGCCAGTATCATGAGAAGCACAGTTCAGACTGCAGCAGTAAATTCCAAATATATGTTCCAGTTTGGAATGAAAGAGATGATAAGAAATTACATATAAATCCTAGCTCATCTCATGACATGTATTTCCTGAACAAACAAAGGTCCAGTTTTGCAGTTAAACCTTGATGTGATAAAGAAGCGTAAAGACAAGCTATCTGGGCATTAATTTTCATATGTGAATAAACCATCACAGTCTCTCTACAAATACACATTTTTGCATGTGTAAATCCACATTTTTGGATGAGAAGAGCAATTTTTCTTCTAGAGAAGGAAGTCGTGTACACTTTTTTCCTCAGTCTTTGGACATTGGGATTTTAAAATGTTTTTCATCCATCCAAGGAAGGACCATATTGTATAGAAGCTAGCCCTCTGAACACATACTTGGGCTTAGTGAAAGAGTGGTAAAAGAAAACAGTCTTGCATCCAGTGAGGGAAACCTTTTTAACTCCCTATGAAGTGAGCCTGCTGTGTTACAAATTACTTCATCCTTTGTGGAGTTTTATAACAGCACTTGTGACTTGGTTTCTCATGCTGCCACAGCTGCAAGAAGACTGGCAGGAGTGGTTTTTCAGTTCAGAAGATGTTGATGGACCCTATAGCATGATCTGCCTTCAGCTGTGTGGGCAACAAGCAGGGGGAGATGAGAGAAGTTTTCACATGATTCCTTTCTCCTAAGAAAAAGAAGCAAAGATGCCTTATGCAGCTCCATCTGACTCTGGCGTTTTACATTCTTTAGCTCCATTTTTTATAAAACTATAAGTAACTTTGTCCCTTCCATCCAAGATGAGTCCTTGGGTGTTTGTTTATTTTTCTAGGTGATTGGCATAATGTTAGGCTGAAAAGGCTAGGACTCAGGTAACTCTTTCCCTAGTTGGAACTTAAGCTTCTCGTTAGAGAACGGGCCTCAGAAGCAATGTTTTCAGATGTGTGGTTGTGTCGTGTAGATTTAGAAAAAATTCAGGGTCTGGGGAAAAAAAAAAAATGCAAGAAAGAGAATTTCAACCAGAAATAGAATCTTCCTTTCCTTCACTTAAAAGTTGTGCCACATGAACAGACTGTAGAAGAAAGTTATCCTTACTTCAAACCAACAGGACTATTGTATGAGCTGCTAGGTTCTTACATAAGGGCACGAGAAGTTTGTTTATGATGCTTTGTGATTAGAGAAAAAATTTAAAATTTCTCTAGATGAAATCAAGAACAGATAGTCTTAGGTCGTTTGTGCTAGAGGGAATGTTTGCCCAGAGCCATGCATGCTGTGATGCTAGGAATTTAGAGCAGAGCAGATTTACCAGAATTTGACATTGATAGAAATGGCCAAAAATGGGAAATGTTGAACAGTGTAATGATCAGTCATAAAGAAGGCTTTTTAGTAAAATAATTAGTATAGATAAAATATACTTTGCTTTAATTGAGGACAGTTACTGAGTGGTAAAGCATAACAGAAATAACTTTGGTTAAAGGTAACTTAAATTTTCCTCCAGGTGACCTCCCAGCCACTTTCCGATGTTTTCTTTTGGTATTTTGAAAGTGTTAAAAACAGAATGGAACCTACATACACGGGTTCCACTATTATGTTGAGAATCTATCATGGAGAATTTGTGTCTTCCAATTAATTCCTTGTTACCCATCTTCCTCATATCCTGACAGCTTTTTGGGTAAGACCATTTGGCAGGGGATAGTGTACCTGTATCAGAGCACCAGTGAAACCAGCCCACTTCTGTGAGCAGGTATCAGACCCTGCTTCTCCAGATGCTTTATATTTTTTCAGTTCATAGCTAAGAGAACCCATTAACAGACCCTTTCAAATTGTTCTTGCCTCTTCCGTAGTTGTCACCAGATGGCACCTCACAAAATGAATATACTCCAGTTGTACTTGCCCAGTGTTTACTTAATACATCTACTTTTTTTTCCTGGTTTATTTTAGTCCCCTTCCTGATGGCAGGTAGCCCTGATGGTGCAGTGGTTAAGTGCTCGGCTGCTAACCCAAAGGTCAGCAGTTCGAATCCACCAGCTGCTCCTTGGAAACCCTCTGGGGCAGTTCTACTCTGTCCTGTAGGGCTGCTGTGAGTCAGAACCGACTCAACAGCAGCAGGGTTTGGGTATGCCTTGATCTTCCGCTTTGCCTCCTTCCATTCTTTTGCTCATCCATGTTAGCTGGCAGTTTTTCTTTTGAAAGTTAAACAAAAACGGGATATGTGCAATAGAAATATATATATATATGTATATTTTAATACTTGTGGACAAGATGTTACAAGTTGTTTAAGAACAACAAAATCACCAATGTCTTCCATTTTGAGATGTGTATAGTTTTGTAAGCATTAGTGCTTGGTAGCAAATTGTATTGCTGTGTTAGGGATTAGTGCATGAGCCTAGTAGTAATTATAAACTTCAGGATGAATTACTGATAATAATAACCAATAGTGTAAAAAGAGTGGAAAGTCTAGACCTTTTCTTTTTACATAAATATATGAATTTGTGATATTCTCCCTTGGGGAAAGGAAATTAAGGCCAAAAAGACTCGTTTATAAAAAGACTCATTTATGAATAGGGGGTCACAATCTGAAATTTTGTGTTTGAGGGTATTTAAACTTTCCATGAAGTAGGTGTAAACCAACTGCCTTAGTGTCTTAGGAAACCTCAAATCAAAATGTAGACCCATTTCCTCATAGTGCTGTGCTCTCTTAGTTTGAGGTGAGACTGTTCTTACACTGTCTCCACATTGTATCTCTTTTAGGTTCATTATTTTCCCACCCCTTTTCCATCAAGTAATTATTTTACATTTTGCATGTCTGACTAAGATGCTACATTAATTGCTTCAGTGAGTGCTTTTCTAATCTGCAGACTATTTACATTTCCTGCCTGCAGCATGCTATGTGTTATAGGAAAAATACTTTGTCAAGAGTTCAGAGTGTCCTAGCTCATGATTTTGTCATTTTCCAGATTAGCTGAATTGTATATTGGTGGCATTCTAGACCTTGAGAGTTGGAAGTGTAGCTAGGTGGAATGCAACTAAGTTGCCGTGTAATAAGTGAACTCTTCGTTGGTTAGATAGAGTAAGCCTCAGACAGCTTTCACTTTTTTCTACTTTCCTTGTGGAAATAAAGCAGTTGTTTTATTTTGAAAGTATAATATAGCTTTCTGTGGAAAAGGAATTCTTATCTGTAAAAGCTGCCTTGAGAACTTGGACATGGCATTTTTCTGAGGTGATTTTAAAATCTCAGTGTTAAGAGACTCTAGGATTTATTGATAGACACAGGATTCTACAGTTAGTGTGATAGAAAATACAAAACAATTTTAATGTGTATCAAGCAGGCTTGAACTAGGAGACCCTTGAGCAGCAGATGTCCAGGGACCAGGTTGAGAGTCTCATAGTGTACTTAAAGTAGTTGACCTCTGTGCTCGAGTAGTTTAGCGCCTGGGGGAATCCATTTCTGAAAAGCATTTTGCAAAATGTTTAAATACCTCTGAAAAGGTAATGAATGCAAAATAGCACAGTATATAGGAAAGGATATTTCCTGTTGCAAAAAAAAAAAAAAAAAAAAAAGCCATAAAATGAATTAATAACTTCAAGAGGTGGACTTTTTGTAGCAATAAGTTTTGCATGTATAGTAAACTGCATTAGCGAGGTTGTACAGTACAGTAAGTGTTAGCACTTGAGTTTGTGGGGCTCTGTAATCAACAGAGTTGCCCAAAAGGAAAAGGACAGGTTCTAGATAAAGAGCATGTAAAAAATTTTTTTCTTCCTTTTTAAAATAGTATGAATGTATATAAATATGTGATTGTGTGTGAGAAATGCCCACTTTTCTATGTTTCCTAAAGCAGTGGGTTAGAGCTGTTGAAATGAAGCCTTCTAGTGCTTATTCACCTGGAAACAAATGTACTAGAGCCCCACTGAAGCAGTCATGTGGGTGTTCGCTCACTGTTCCTTTAGCAATAGGCATTTACTCCAGAATGGCATTACTTTTTTGCTTGGTCACCTCATTTCTTGCTATTGATTTTCTGGGTGCATTTTTAAAAGGTAAGTTTATTGTATGTTTAGGGTTAAAAAAAAAAAAAAAAAAAACTTAGATAGCTGGCTTTTCTTCCTGCTTATGATTAGGGAAGTTGGGATTTAAAAAAACTGAAAAACAAAAAGATTGAAGGGAATAGCTAAAGATTGTTGGGATATTTTGGAGTTATTTTTAAACCTTGTCTAACACAGACATGTTGAGGCCTGTGGCCTGTGACTGCCTATTCTTGTAATAAGGAGAACTCAGCAAACTGGTTTCTTTCTTGATCTGAGGAGTCCCAGCACACATCAGGACGTAACAGTGAACTAGGGTGACAGTCCTTTTTACCTCATGTCCATCTTGGCCATTTAGCACCTTGGAGATGGTTAAATCTCTGAAGAGACTGGGTCTGCGTTCCCTCATTTTCCCAGGCAGGTGGGGGACTAAAAGATAGGTGGGGTAGTCTGAGAAAAGAGTGCCTCTTGAATATTTAATTCTTTCATGGCAGCACTAAAGGATAGGCAGGCTATATTAAATTGATTCCGGCTCCTCTTTAAATGTCCTATGCCACAGTTGGCGTTAGAGACATTGGAATAACCAAGCAATATTCAGACATCTGCATGATTATGGGGACACCATTGCATATTACAGTGGTGTCAACGGTTCAGTTACTCGGAACAAAGATTACTTCTAACAGCCATGTTAATAGTACTAAATGCTAAAATGTACTAAACATTTTTGTAATCTCAAAGTCTGTGGTTAATTACTTTTCAGAGTTACTGTAGTCTTGTGTTTACTCTTTGTACACCTGTGATATGCAAAATATGAAGAGATCCTTGGCCTTGAGGAGTTTACATTCTAATGGTGCTGCTGGTGCAAGCAAATTGCTTCTAGTTTATTCAGAACATTGCTTGGCTATTAATTATACCATATTTGGAAGGATCCCTTAGCCAACAGTTTCCAAAAGCAGAGGGCTATGCTAAATTTCAGGGCACTGATGTTTGAGTTTACATTGTATTAGCTCTGCTGTTAATAAACTCCTTTTCCCCAGGGAGCTGCTTAGTAATGTGACTCAGTAAAGAAACCTTCTTGCACACGAGTGTTTTCACCATCCCTGTACCATCTAGGTTCTGTGATACAGCTGTCAATAAATGGCCAGTTTACTGCTCCATAGACTATCTTTCAGTTCTATTCTTTTCCCAGAGCTTTTACATCATTCTCTACCCAAAAGGACCAGGATTTGCATATAAGCCTTTTATACCTGAACAGTGGTCCTGATTTTAGCCTTTTTGTGTGTGACTTTTGTACCTCTGTTCCGAAGAGGCATTGCGATAGATGTGGGAGCCTGCCTGCATTTCTTAGCAATCACTTTGTTAACCCACATTTTCTGTTGAAACTGCATGTATCCTGGTTATTTCCCGTAATTCCTCTGAACCAAGGGGTTTACTTTGCATGCTTATTAAAACTGGGTCTGGTTGAAAGTGCAAGCAATAGTGGCAGGCCCATAATTCTGATTTTACAATACTAATATTCTACTAATGCATGACTAAAAATGTCCAGTGTTATGTGGTTACTAGTAATTTTATATATGCATTTATTAATGAAGCAATAGAAATTTAAACCAATAGCTTCAATTTATTTTTTGTGTTACTAGTTTTCTAATTAAAGATTATCTTACTTCCATTGAAAATGGGAGATAGAAGATAAACAGGGGCAACCACAAGACATTCAAACCATAGGAAGGGGCATAACAGTGCTCTCCCTCTAACCTCTTGCCTGGTTCCAGTAGTCGCCAAGTATGTTTGAAAACAAAAGGTATAAACTAAGCATGTTGAATAAATAAATAAGCTGCTACAGCTATAATAATCAGGTGCAGAGTTTCTGAAAGGGTAGGAAAGGAGGGAATTCAGTGTGTAGTACAAAAAATAACTAGGTATGGAGTTTTTCTGATAAAGTTTATATGGCCGAAAGTTCGGCCTTTTAGAACTAGTGTCTTGCATGTGGTGTCAATAAGCACATGTTCAGAAGTTTCAGGATTTCTGGGTAACTGGGCAACCATCCTAGATGTACTGGTATTGACCAGCAATAAAGGGGCACTGCAGCAAAGGAGACTTCCACTTTGTGGGAATAGTCCAGAAAGTATTGCTACATCTATGGTATAGGGTTGCTATGAGTCAGAATCGACTCGATGGCAACGGGTTTGGTTTTGGTCTAGTTTACTTTCTTTTGCTTAAAATTGTTTATTTTTTATAGCCGGAGATTGATCCTTGATGGTTTGGTTAGACTGCACAATTTTTTTTGCCTAAAGCTTTTGCTCCCAGGTAAACAGGAGAGTTTTATTTATTTTTGAAAAACAAAGAAAAACCTTGCCATCTATTTTCTTATGTGGTGAAGAAGATAAATGTCTGATTCATTGTGGTAGTTCAGAAATTTTTTTGAGAAGAAAAATTTTTGACTTTGAAATAACCCTTATAAGGACAAGTGATCGTGACAAATAATGTAGACGTGAAACCCATTATATCTGCAAGATCCCTAAATAGAAGGGAATTCCAGATTAGCCTAAGGGATTATTGCTAGGCCCCTTTCAGGTCCCGTGGTCTGTAATTGAAAGAAGTTTTTTTCCAAAATTTAAATTTTATTTTCCTTGCTATGGGGCTTTGTTCCAAGTATCTTTGGGAATGTTTAAGTGGGATGGTAACTTTCCAGTGGTTCAGAATTGAATTAGACTTATCATTGCAAAGTTTGGTCTCCACCCACAAACAAAAGGTGAGATGTCATGTTTCATATGTAATTCTGCTTGCCACTTACTGATAACATGTCTAACAGCCAATGAAACCAATAAAGATTAAGGACGGAGTTTCTCTGAACCTCTGTTACCATTATTCCACTAATGCAGATTAAAAGAAATCGTTAACACTGGAAAGCCAAACATCGGATTTCTCCAGGAACCAAACTCCGAAACCTTTAAAGTCAGATTAGATAAGTAAGGCTACCGATAATTTTTTTTTTTATAATATTTTATTTACTTTTTATTGTACTTGATGAAGGTTTACAGAACAAATAGTTTCTCATTAAACAGTCAGTACACATATTGTTATATGACATTGGTTAACAACATCATGACATGTCAACACTCTCTTCTTGACCTTGGAGGACTTTTTTTTTTTTTTTGGTGAAAATATACATAGCCAAAGTTACACCATTTCAAAAGTTTCTACGTGTACAATTCACTACTGACAATTTTCGAAAGGTTTTTCCTCCCTTGGTGATGATGGTATGCCATGCCATCAATTGAAATATATTTTTCTTCTAGTGTTAAGAAAGGGATTCTGGCAATACATTGTAATCATTCCTTGAAGAAGCAACGTTAATAGTCTGGGCCTACCTTAAGACCCTTCATCTCTTATGATTAAAAAGACTCATATTAGAGTGACAGTGTGTTTTATTTACTGTGCTCTAAGTACAGGAATTGATCACTGTGTTTACTTGCTGTTCTGCATCTTCACTGTACCATTGATGTATGTATAATATTAAAGGAACTTCATTGAATATGTTTGAAGTATTACATAAGGCAGCTTGCTTTTTAATCTATGCATCTTTGGGAATTTTAGAGAAGATATTTTATTCTTTGATGTGAAAAGCAGCTGTTAATACAAGTTGGAAACTCTGCACCTGTGTATAATTTTTTTTTCTTTTTTTAGCAATAAAGCAGCATGGGCTGAGAATGCACTAAAATTTCGTTGTGTGTTGTTACTTAGAATGGTTAATTTGAAATAATGCAGTAAATTATGGAGGTGGGCGGAGCCTTTCCACAGACCTGTACCTGAGCTAGGCTTCAGATGTAGAAGGAGAAAAAAAGGACCTGGGTTTACTGATGCCCGGCTGTGGCAGTTTGTGGTGTATGTTGTCTAAGGGAACAGGCAGCCATCTGAAGCGAGAGAACGCATGCCATTTCACCTTACCCCACCCTCCTGTTTCACCTGGAGGCCAGCCTTCGGCTAGGCCTATGAACAAATGTCTTTTTGGTAAGGAAATAATGAACTAAGTACAATAATAATACAATTGTAAACCAAGGGGCAGTGTCTTAGGCTGGGTTCTCTAGAGAAGCAAAACCAGCAAAGTGTATAAATATCTATAGAGAGAGAGGGATTATATCAAGTAAACAGCTCACGTGATTGTAGAGGCTAGAACATCCCAAGTCTGTGGATCAGGGTAGAGGCCTTTCCCAAGTCACACAGCTGCAGAAGCTGGCAAGCCCAAGATTCGCAGGTCAGAGAGCAGGGCTCCCACTCACAGGCTGTGCAGATCGACGAATCCCAGGTTCGGCAGATAAGCTGACAGCTCAAGTCCCAAGAACAGGAGATGAGATGACAGGAAGCAGCCGCAGGATCCAGAGAGAGCAAAAAGCCAGAACATCTGCTTATATACAGATGCGGGCCACCCCTGCAAGGAGACTCCCTTTCATCTGACTGGCTACTCACAGTATATTCAGTCATGGGAGTGATTACATTAAAACACTGAGAATCATGGCCCAGCCAAGTTGACACACAATCTTAACCATCGCAGGAAGGGAACTCTTCCCACCTGAAATATATGAGCATTTAAGGTGCTTTTATATTTAATATGTAAATGTTAACTTAGTTAAATTAAGGAGCTTTTTAACACTGAAGTATCATAAGAGATCGTCTGTTTTTATTCACGGAAAAGGAAAGGAGTTTTTTTCAAATTGAAGTAAGAAAGATGATAGAAACTTCCTTGAGATTGGCTGTTGTCAACTTGGGACGGACGAAGAAGCTATGTGGTTTTCATCAAGTGACTAATGTTATACTTCCCTTGACTTCGGAGGCTATTCATTTAGCGTGCATTTAATGATGTACTCCACATCCCAGGTACTGTACTAGATGCTGAGGTTACAAAAATGGAGATGGTTTCTGCTGTTAAGAAGCTCAAAAGTACAACTTAGTGAGACCTTCAGTGTGCAATGTTTACTGTTCATAGAGCCACATGGAGTTTTGAAAACACTTATTCAACACATAGTGCTAACTGTAGTAAAGTAGCCTTAGAATCTGGTACTGATCAGCCAGTCTGTTACTGAGGTTTGCAAGACTTCTGGAGGAGCTTTTATACCACCTACAGGTGAAAAAAAGAGTCAACCATTTTTGTGAGAGTATCAATTAGTATAACCTTATGAAAGGTATAATATCCAAATTATAAATACACGTGTTCTTTGACTATCCCACTGCTAAGAATTGCTCCTATAGACATACAAGTACAGACATGCAGAGATATGTACAAAGATGTCCAATGCAAGAACGGTTAAATTTTGGTACATTCATATGACTGAATACTATGCAGATGTTAAAAAGAATGAAGTAATTTGCATATAGACTGCTATGGAAAGTTGTCCATGGTATTTACTGTGTGAAAAGCATGTTGCAGAATGTGGATAAAAAAAATTATGTCCTTATTTTGTTTATATTATGTATATCCATATACATGAAGGTTATAATAGCTAGTATTTATTGAGCATTTACTATATGCTAAGCACTGCCCTAATTATATGAGATGCATTTAACTCATTCAGTCCTCAGAATAGCTGTAGTGATTGTTTTTATCCATGTTTTACATAGAGGGAAACCAAAACATAGAGTTAAAGTAAATTCTTCCAGTTCATGGCTAGTAAGTACCTAAGCCACTATTTGAATCGCAATAGTTTGGCTCCAGAGTCTGCTCACTTACCAGCATACTGTATTGTGCCTCTCAGAGATGGGAGAAGTGGACTTTCACTCTTTATCTTGTCACGTATCTGTATCTGAACTTTTTCTAGAGTAAGGATGTATTTTGTATTTGGAAAAAAAAAGTCAGCAAGCTTAAAAGTTAATGTAGACAGGTTCACAGATTTATTTTTTTTATTGACAGTCTCAACCAAAACGTCAAATCCAGAGGTTTAGAAAAGTATCTACATAACAGTTTTTATTTTAGATAAAGGAAATATGTTGACTTAGGCATACCCATGCGTAATTAAAAACCCCAGGATGATTCAATATAGTACTAATAATTTATTAGATCCCATCTTCTAGGAGTAGAAAGTAGGTATTGCAGCCAGGATGCTTCAGTATTGCCTGCAGGACCAAAGGCCATGATAAAATTTTGCAACTCAAAAGCATAAAGCAAATCAATATTTTCTCTGTTTTAAAATATTTTTAAAAGAAAATATCCTGTATGGTATATAAAATGGAAATAATATAATACTAAAAAAAAAAAAAATCTAGCTACATCTCAACCAAGTTCTCTGTCCACTTTGCTGTATCATCTCATGTGACTAGTGCCATACCCCTCCTCACTGGTCGGCTTGCCTCCCCTCCCACCCAGGACAACCATGAGATACTAAAAAATTAAATCTGATCCTGTCACATACCTCCCATCTAGCCACAACTCCGTTAAAATTCTTCAAGGGCTTCCCATGGATCTTAGGATACCAATATCCTCCAGGAGGCCATTAAGGCCTAGCACCCTCCAGTTTCTGGCTACCTTTACAACTCCTGCAGGCCTTCTTGGAAGAGGCTCGAAGACCCTCATAGGGCCTTTGCACACGGGCTATTCCCTGTGTCACCTAAATTAACTCCTACTCATCTTTCAGACCACTGTTGAAGTGTCGCTTCCTCAGGCATTCCCTGACCCCAGACCAGGTCAGTTACCTGTTGCCTGTGCTTGTAGATCAATGTCTCTTATATATCTTTATGTGGTTATCTGAATGTCCATCTCTAAGTAGATTCTAACCTCTGTGAGGATAGAAAGTGACTGTTTTTACTTACCTTTTTAACCCTAACACCTAGCATAATACTTTATAATTATTCGTTAAATGAATAATTTGATAAGCTACTCAACCAAAATGCTACATAAAGCAAAATATGAGAAACTGGCATTTTAGTGAATGTTTGATGTTTTATCATTTCTTTCATTATTTTCCTGTTAAACTCAGTTATTACTAAAAAGAGATAAATTGTATATTATCCAGTCAAGTTACTGAATATTCCCTATAGAATATGTATGTACTTGTATTTTAAATATTTAAAAAATGGTTTATCAGTATTCATACAACTGCTCTATGCAGGAATAACAGTAGTCAACATTAAGTCCAACTCTTTTTTCAGACCAACCATGCATCTTTAGATCAGAGCACCCAGGGAACATTGCCTCCTAATCCCTAAATTTGGAGTCAAAAATGTTTTTAGAACACTAGACAATAGGTAAGTGGTAACTTTGGTAAAGGGTGAGACAGTACACAATACTGGGGAAGCCAGCACAACTTGTCCAAGGCAAGGTCATGGAAGCTCCATAGACACATCCAAACTCCCTGAAGGACCGAATTGCTTGGCTGAGGGCTCTGGGGACCATGGTCTCAGGGAACATCTACCACGACTGGTATAACATAATTTATGAATGTTCTACATTGTACTTTGGTGAGTAGCATCTGGGGTCTTAAAAGTTTGTGAGCGACCATCTAAGATACTCCACTGGTCTCACCCCATCTGGAGCAAGGGAGAATGAAGAAAACCAAAGACATAAGGGAAAGATTAGTCCAAAAGACTAATGGACCACAACTACCACAGCCTCCACCAGACTGAGTCCAGCACAACTAGATGGTGCCCGGCTGCCACCACTGACTGCTCTGACAGAGATCACAATAGAGGGCCCTGGACAGAGCTAGAGAAAAATGTATAACAAAATTCTAATTAAAAGAAAAAAAACAGACTTACTGGTCTGACAGAGACTGGAGAAACCTCAAGAGTACGGACCCCGGAAACTCTTGTAACTCAGTAACGAAGTCACTCCTGAGGTTCACCCTTCAGCCAAAGATTAGACAGGTCCATAAAACAAAACGAGACTAAATGGGCACACCAGCCAAGAGGCAAGGAAGAGAAGGCAAGAGGGTACAGAAAAGCTGGTAATGGAGAGTGTTGACATGTGGGGCTGGCAACCAGAGTCACAAAACAGTATGTGTATTAATTGTTTAATGAGAAACTCGTTTGCTTATAAACCTTCATCTAAGGTACAGTAAAAAAAATGGGGAAAAAAAGTTTTTAGAAATAAACATTATGAAATTGGTAAGAAGCTAAACTAAGTTCAGGCAAATAGCTATGAAACCTGAACAGAAGGCTCTTTAGTTGCTCATCTTGTATAAACAGCTTCACAAAATCAGCCAAGAGGGAAACAAAAACCCGCATTCCCCACCCTCATTCTTGAAGTCAGCCATTCTTGAGAAATGATCAAGCAGCACCTGTTGTACAAGAGCACAATAAAGCCTGAAGCTGATACTCCAGCCTTCATTCTGGATCAGTTTTCTGGCTTGGACTGGTCAGGAATCACTTCCTTCAAAATCTTCATTAGTGAATTTAAGCGAGTATGTGTTAACATTATCTTCTCTTTCATCTGGGAAGAGAAATATAAATATCAGGGCATTTTAAGCTTAACACTTAATTTACTGTTCCTAGAAGCCACTTGGAGCCCTGGTGGCGAAGTGGTGAAGAGATCGGCTGCTAACCAAAAGGTGGGCAGTTCAAATCCACCAGCTGCTCCTTGGAAACCCTATGGGGCAGTTCTACTTTGTCCTATAGGGTTGCTATGAGTCGGGATTGACTTGAGGGCAACGGATTTTTTTTAGAAGCCACTTAAATTTAAGTTAGTTTATATCTAATGATTGGAAGCTGGCAATATCTCAACCATTTCAGGAATACATTTGCTCTTTTTCTGAAAAAAATTGATACAACAAACCCAGAACACAATAAGATCCTCAGATACAAAATTCATACGAAAGAAGATCAGCCATTACTGAACATTACTGCTTCCTGTCCCCCTCTTTTCTACCCCTTTATCATTTGGGTTTAAACTCCAGATATTGGGAGGGAAGACAAAAATAAATGGGGTAAGATGAGTTTGTCGAGACAGAATCATTAACTAGCATCCCCTCCCTTTCCAGTGTCAAGAATTTAGCTTTTCTTTTAACTCTTTGTTAACAGTAACAAATGCCTTTCTTTAATATTCCACTAGAGGGCTTCAAAATTACTTCAGGCTGTTAGCTTTAAAACAGATGTTTGTTATAATTAGATAATCTTCAAGAGTTCTTTCACCTGAGAACTGTATCTGGAACTAAATTTAGTGGTGTTACTAGGCATACAACATGTATTTAGACCCATAAATAAAGTTATTATGTAATACAGGATTATATATAAGTCTTCTGCTGAAGTCACAGTTAACAAAATATATTTTTATTTCTATAACTTTGAGGTATATATTTCTGACTCCATTGGTACAGTATACTAAATCTACTTTTAATGATCCACGCTACAAGAATACCCAAAATTCATGATGAAACTTGATTAAATTAAACGACTAACTCTAGCCTGCACTAACTGTAGATGTAGCCTTCGGTGCTCCGCTACAATAATTAGGTCATATATGGGCTTGGCCTCAATCATGATATTCCCTGAGAACATTGCTTTCCTGAATAAAATATTGACACGGGTGTTTATCGACTGTTTATCATAAATTGCAGGGGCTTTCGGGGTGCGTGGGGAGTAGAGGGAAGAAAATCCCCTTTATTGACACTTTAGTTATATAATTTTTGGTAAAAACTCGTTTTACCAAAAAGCAAATAATTTTGAACATCCAAAGTGATTAAAAACCTTCACGAGGCTTAAAATTATCTTAATGGGCTCTGAAATCTGGGCAGAGCCAGTTTCTTCCACTAGAGGAAACATGTTTATCTGAGTACGGGTTAATACATATAATTAAGAAAACCATGTCCCACTCTAGGCACCCAAAGTGAAACTTGGGATCCCAATTTGCATTCCTAATTGTGTCTCCTCCAACTGCTGGGAAGGTTGGCTCATTAATTTTAAGACCACCTTGCTCATACCAGGTGTTGTTGTTAGGTGCCATCAAGTCAGTTCCGACTCACAGTGACCTTATGTACACTGCCCTGGTCCTGCGCCTTCCTCACAGTCATTGTGTTTGAGCCCATTGTTGCAGCCACTGTGTCAGTCCATCTCATTGTGGGTCTTCCTCGTTTTCAGTGCCCTTCCTCTTAACTCACTTCTCCAGGGACTGGTCCCTCCAGATAACATGTCCAAAGTACATGAGACGAAGTCTTGCCATCCACGCTTCTTCCAAAACAGACTTTTTCATTCTTCCGGCAGTCCATGGTATATTCGGTATTCTTCGCCAGCACCATAATTCAGTCATCAATTCTTCTTTGGTCTCCGTATTCATTGTCCAGCTTTCACATGCATACGAGGCGACTAAAAACACCATGGCTCGGTCAGGCGCACCTGAGTCCTCAAAGTGACAGCTTTGCTCTTGAACACTTTAAAGAGCTCTTTTGCAGATTTGGAAACACTAGTGGCATAGTGGTTAAGCGCTACGGCTGCTAACCAAGGGGTCGGCAGTTCAAATCCACCAGGCGCTCCTTGGAAACTCTATGGGACAGTTCTACTCTGTCGTATAGGGTCACTATGACTTGGAATTGGCAACGGGATTGGTTTTGGGTTTTTTCTTGCAGATTTGCCCATGCAATATGTCCTTTGATTTCTCGACTGCTGCTTCTGTGGGCGTTGATTGTGGATTCAAGTAAAATGAAATCTTGACCACTTCAATCTTTTCTCCGTTTATCACGATGTAGCTTACTGGTCCAGTTGTTAGGATTTTTGTTTTCTTTATGTTGAGGGGTAGTCCATACTGAAGGCTGTGGTCTTTGATCTTCATCAGTAAGTGCTTCAAGTCCTCTTCACTTCATCAGTAAGGGCTTAAAGTCCTCTTCACTTCAGCAAGCAAAGCTGTGCCATCTGCATATCACAAGTTGTTAATGAGTCTTCTTCCAATCCTGATGCCACATTCTTCATATAGTCCAGCTTCTCAGATTACTTGCTCAGCATACAGACTGAATAAGTACAGTGAAAGGATACAACCCTGACGCACACCTTTCCTGATTCTAAACCATGAAGTATCCCCCTTGTTCTGTTCCAATGACTGCTTCTTGGTCTATGTACACCTCCTGCATGAGCCCAATTAAGTGACCTGGAATTTCCATTCTTCGCAAACACATATACATACGTACACACACATATTTTTTGGGTATTGTTACAAGATTACATATGCCACAGCATTTACAAAATATACTTTTTCTTATGTACAACTTAGTGTCATCATTTACTTTGGTTAAGCTGTGCACACTCCACCCACATTCAGTGTTACCTTTCCCATAAACAAAAATAAAAAGTGTCTACTATCTAAAGAGTGACTCCCCTTCCCTTCCCCCCGACCCCTGCTAACCACCAATGGACATTGGTCTCTGTATATATACCTATTCTTAACTTTTTATAAAAGTGAGACCATATATTTTTTTTATCGTTGTAGTTTAAGTGAAAGTGTACAATTCAAGTTAGTCTCTCATACAAAAATTTATACATACATTGTTATGCGACCCTAATTGCTCTCCCAGTACTGTGACAACAAACTCCTCCTTTCTACGGCTAATTTCCCGTGTCCATTCAACCAGCTCCTGATCCTCTCTGCCTTCTCATCTCGCCTGTGGACAGGAGCTGCCCATTTAGTCTCATGTATCTACTTGAGCTAAGAAGCACACTCTTCACGAGCATCATTTTATGTCCCACAGTCCAGTCCAATCTTTGTCTGAAGAGTTGGCCTTGGGAACTGTTTTAGTTCTGGGTTGACAGAATGTTTGGGGGCCACACTTTCTGGGGTTCCTCCAGTCTCTGTCAGACTTCCAGTCTGGTCTTTTTGCTAGAATTTGAGTTCTGCACCCCACCCTTCCCCCACTCCATCAGGGATTCTCTGTTCCCTGTCAGAGCTGTCATTGGTGGTAGCTGGGTACCATCCAGTTCTTCTGGTCTCAGGCTGATGAAATGTTTGGTCTATGTGGCCCTTTCTGTCTCTTGGGCTAATATTTTCCTTGTGTCTTTGGTGTTCTTCATTCTCCTTTATTCCAGCTGGTTGGGACCAACCGATGCATCTTAGATGGCCGCTTGCTAGCTTTTAAGACCCCAGACGCCACTCACCAAAGTAGGATGCAGAATGTTTTCTTAATAAACTTTGTTATGGATTGGCTGCAATCTTAACAGAAGCAGATCACTGGGCCTCTTCTTCCATGGTATTGCTGGGTGGACTTGACCTGCTAACCTTTAGGTTAGCAGTCAAGCACAGTTTGTGCCACCTAGGGACTTTTAATCTAATATACTATATACTTTGTTATGCCAGTTGACCTAGATGTCCCCTGAAAACATAGTCCCCAAACCCCCGCCCCTGCTACTCTGTCCCTCCAAGTGTTTGGTTGTATTCAGGAAACTTCTTAGCTTTGGTTTAGACCAGTTGTGCTGTCTTCCCCTGTAGTGTGTTTTGTCTTTCCCTTCACCTAAGATAATTCTTGTCTACTTTCTAGTTAGTGAAGAATACCCCCTCCCTCCCTCCCCACCCCCATAACCATCAAAGAATGGTTGTCTTATGTGTTTAAACCTTTTCTTGAGTTCTTATAATAGTGGTCTTATACAATGTCTGTCCTTATGCAACTAAGTTCACTCAGCATAATACCTTCCAGATTCCTCCATGTTATGTTTCACAGATTGATCATTGCTCTTTATGGTTGCGTAGTATTCCATTGTGTGAATATACCATAATTTGTTTATCCATTCATCCACTGATGGGTACCTAGGCTGTTTGCATCTTTTTGCGATCGTGAACAGTGCTGCAATGAACGTGGGTGTGCATATATCTATTTGTGTGACAGCTCTTAATTCTCTAGGATATATTCCAAGGAGCGGGATTGCTGGATTGTATGGTACTTCTATTTCTAGCTTTTTAAGGAAGCGCCAAATCCATTTCCAAAATGGTTGTACCATTTTACATTCCCACCAACAGTGTATAAGTGTTCCAGTCTCTCCACAGCCTCTCCGAGATTTATTATTTTGTGTTTTTTGGATTAATGCTAGCCTTGTTTGGGTGAGATAGTATCTCATTGTAGTTTTGATTTGCACTACTCTAATAGCTAATGATCGTGAGCATTTCCTCATGTGTCTGTTAGCCGCCTGACTGTCTTCTTTGGCAAAGTGCTTGTTCATATTCTTTAGGAACAATTGCTTTTTAAATGTTAGAAGAACATGCATTTATACCTGGGCTTTGAACCGGTTCTACCTGGTTCAGTCATGGCCAAGGAAGCATCATCAGAACAGACTCGAATTTTCAAAATTTGGGTGATTGCCAAAACGAAACTTACAGGTCGAAACCCAGCTAGAAACTTAATCTCCCTCTTAGTAAACAAGGGCAGTGTATGCACTGCATAGCAACCAAATCTCTTGCCCTTGGATTTTCAGCAGATTTAGAAACAGTGCTGCCTGGCTCAAAGATGGCAGCCAACTGCGCCACTTTGAATGTACGTTGCTCTCTACAGTCCTGCCAGTAATCCACTCTCATGTATCAGGCTCCTGAAAGGACTCGCTATGCCTCTTCCAAGTAGCCCATTCCAGGGCACTGACCCGTAATTGTTCCCATTCCGGGTACCCTGGCGAATCATGCAAATTGTAAAACTTCAGGTCTGTTCCTGTTTCTCTTTGTTGGCCATGACTGAACCAGTTCAAACCAGTCTGAGTCCTTGATTTACACTCTTTTATAATTACATAATTACCTTTACCTGTGCTTATTGCGTCCTCATGTGGATCTGAAGTACTGTATGTGGTGACTTGCTTTCAGCAGGAACAACTTTCTTTAGTATTGTAAGGCAGGTCTGCTAGGAACAAACTGTCAGTTTTTGTTTATCGAGGAATGTCTGTATTTCACCTTCATTTCTGAAAGTTTTGCTGGGTATAATATTTTGCTTGACGGTTTTTTGGGTTTTTTTTTCCTTTCAACACTTTGAATATGTCATCCTGCTGCTTTCTGGCCTCCACGGTTTCTGATGCGACATCAGCTGTTAATATTATTGGGGTACCTTAGTACATGATACGTCATTTTTTCTGTTGCTGTTTTCAAGACTTTTTCTCTTTGTGCTTCTCTTTCAGCATTTTTTACTAGGATGTGTCTGAGTGTAGATCTCTGCATTTATCCTACCTGGAGTTTGTTGAGCATCCAGGATGTGTAGATTAATGTTTTTCATCAAATTTGGAAATGTTTAGCCATTATTTCTTTAAATATTTTGTCTGCGTCTTTCTCCTCTCCTTTTGTACTCTCATTACTTGTATTTTGGTACACTTGATGGTATCAAGGAGCCCTGAGGCCGCAGTTGTTAAGTCACTTGGCTGCTAACCAAAAGGTTGGCAGTTCGAACCCACCAGCAGCTCTGTGGGAAAAAGATGTGGCAGTCTGCAACTGTAAAGATTTACCGCCTTAGAAAACCTGTGGGGGCAGTTCTACCCTGTCCTGTAGGGTCACTATAAGTCAGAATTGACTCAACAGCAGTGGGTTTGGGTTTTGGGTTTGATGGGATCAGCTCTCTGAAACTCTGTTAATTTTCTTCGGTTTTTTTTCTCTCTGTTCTTTAGACTTCATAATCTCTACTGATCTATCTTTAAGTTTACTGACTCTTTCTTCTTTCAGTTCAAATCTGTTCAGCCTCTCAAGTGAATTTTTGATTTCAGACATTGTACTTTTCAATCTAAAATTTCCATCTGGTTCTTTTCTATAATTTTTATCTCTTTACTGATATACTCTATTTGATGAGACATTGTTATCATACCTTCCTTTACTTCTTAAGTATGTTTCCCTTTGTTCTCTGGACATATTTATAATAGCTGCTTTGTAGGCTTTGTCTGCTAAGTCCAACATTTGAGCTCATTCAAAAGCAATTTCTGTTGTCTGCTTTTTATCTTGTGTATGGATCATATTTTCCTATTTCTTTGCATGTCTAATTTTTTATTGAGAACTGGACATTTTAGATAATATAGCAACTCTAGATACAATTCCACCACAACCCATGGCTTGTTGTTGTTGTTTATTTTTTCAGTGAGTTGGCTGGATTATTTTAGTAAGGTCTATTCCCCCCCAGTGTGTAGCCTTTAATGTCACTCTTCAGAGGGTACAGCCTTGGGCATGTGTACAGTGACTCGAGATGACAGAGATTTTAGCAGGTTCTTTCTCTTTCTCTTTCCCTGATCGCTGTTAAGCTGTCTGCCTCTGTAGGAATCACATGCAACTGTTAGCCTCCACTAAGCACTAGCTGATTCCTCTATGGTTTTTGACAATGCCCTGGGCATAAATTGTTCCACTGTTTTGACCTGCCTCTCACCCTGGGCAAAACCTCTGTGTTACTGCTCCAGAGCTGGGATTGAGGACAGTATCTATCAGAATGACACCCCTGTTTTTATCAGCAGGGTGCTAGGCAGGGGCGATAGCTTCTGATCTTCTCAGCTTGCCTCTCTTGCATGGAATCTTTGCCCTGTGAGCGAGCTGGGTGGAGGACAATCAGCTTCCCAGTATTTTTGGCTTACTGTGCTTGTGGTAAAGCTTCCACCATGCAAGTGGCCATTCTTGCCTGGAAGAGAGTTTCTGTAACACAGAGCTGGGGTGATGGGGAATGCTAGTGGCCTGCACCTATTGAGGAGATACCATAGTCCTCAACTGGGAGCTCAGCGCGGGTGGGGAGCCCTGGGTTCTTGCCTGCACCTGCCCAGAAGAAGCCTCCCTCCTTCTGAGATGGGGGAAGAGGAAGGGAAGGAGCAAATTGTAGCTCAAATGCCAAAGACTCTTGCTGTTCTTACTGAGGTTTGGTAGATTTTCTTCAATAAGTTTTTTCATTTGCTACATGCCTTGAGGAAAATTTCTAGAGACTTAAAATGGTTATTTTCTTTATTAATTTCACCAGTTATGGTTATTTTGCTGGGGGGAGGGTCCACGGAGCTCCTCCTGCCACCATTCCACAAGCTGTCTCCCAAACAGATTATTTTTAATCGCAATATTTACTGACCTCATCAGCTTAGGGCAGGGGTTGGCCAGTCATATACTGTGGACCAGCCTGCTGCTCCTCTTATAAAGAAAATGTTATTGGAACATAGCCACATCCGTTTGTTTATGTATTGTCTGTGGCTGCTTTTGTCTATGGCAGAGTTGAGTATTTGAGACTGCACGGCCCACAAAGCTGAAAATATTTGACTTCTGGCCTTTTATAGAAAAAGTCTGCCAACCTTTGGCTTACTTAGCTTTGCAAAGAGAAAAAAAAAATAACTATTTCCCTGTCCTAAGCAGTATTCCCAATATTAAACTTTGAAAAATGCCATTGGTTTCTAAATGTATAATTAGCAAGGAATACACTATTAACAATACTAAATACAAAACCAACAGTAAATTCTAAGCTTGCTCTTCTGAGGGTAGTAAAGCTATAGCCAAATTTTTACTCATAATGAGTCAGCAGGCTACCAAAACAAAGTTGCCTTCTTCAATTCAAAGCCATAAACCACTAGTAAAATCTGCTTAAACACTTAATAATTCTTTTACTGCTCTTTCCTCCGAGACATCTAAGTATAAAGTGCTTGCAAAAGGGACAGCTCTGCACAAGATGATGATGTCCATTCCCAGGAGAAAGAATTGGGAAGGCAAGAGCTGAGCAGCTTTCTCCCTCTTCCTGAACTAGATCTTACAATATGGCTTTAGTATTTTGCTTTGTGTTACAAATTTTCCAAACCAACTATAAAGGATTATTGGAGTATCACACCATTTCATCACCCCCAAGTTCACTGGTACAAACTATCAAGAGTTGTCTATATTAAAGGAACCACACAACCACCATGAAACTTTACCTCTGCAATCTTTTCTGTTAGGGGCACATTGTGAATATCCATCTCCGATGCATTTACTACGGCTTTTGTTTTTAAGAGATAGCTAGATAGAAAATGTAAAGAGAAAATGTTAGTACCATACCTTAGTTGAGGTTATCATTGAAACAAACTTTCCTCTAAAGCAAGTATCTGTCAAGCAAAGCCTCCTTTCTTACTGATTTCCACTTTAAGACTCATGATATATTTTGTTCAAAAAATAAATTCTCAATAAACATAGTGCAAAGATAATCCAAATCATTAGATTCTGTGCCTCATCCTACCCTTCCTAGCGAGGAATACAGGAGGCAGAATTATCCTAGAGCAAAGAAAAGGCAAACCCAGGGTCATATGAATGAGTTTAAGTTTTGCACTCCACATGTAGATCCTGTAGCACCGTTAGAAGAAAAGTAATCATGTTGTGGCAGATACTGTTGCTTGCCTACCAGTAGCCACTCTCATTTCATTCTTGCTAATAGAACCCGGATTTTATTTAGGGCAGCAGCATGTCCAGTCCTAAGAGATGAAACATGACTAATCGAAGCCAGTTGTGGCAATCTTGCTTCCGATTGTCACAGATTTGCTTTCCCGGCTTTAGGTGACCATGTGACATAGTTCTGAACAATAATAAGGAAAATTTTGCTGATAAAAGGAGAACTTTCCCTGTCTTCCCACCCTCTCCATATCCTTCTCCTTCCTGCTGAAGATATATTGTCTATAGACGTAATGCTTGTAATTACAGCAGCCATCCTGCAACCGGGAGGACAAGGCCAAGAGAACCACAGAGATGCTGACCCAGAGCTCTGTCACTGGGGAGCCATTAGAAGACTCCTAGAGTTGCCATCCACCCCTTACTTGTTAACACAGTGTTAGTTAGGTTTCCTGTCACTAGCAAACAAATTCATTTTGATACACACAGATATAGATTTATTATCTTCCGAGACTCATGTTACCTATGCCTTCCCAGTTTCTACTTAACCAAAAGAATGTACAGACTTTTGAGGCTAACTCCTAGTTTTAAAGATTAAGAAATTATTCAAAATCCCATATATTTTCAAATTTATATTTTCAAAAAATTGTTACTAAAAGCTTACTTCCCTATAGCTTTGCTGGGGCATTTTCATGGAGCTCTGGTGGCAAAGTGGTTAAGCATTTGGCTGCTAACCAAAAGGTTGGCAGTTTGAATCCACCAGCTGCCCGTTGGAAACCCTCCTGGGCATTCTACTTTGTCCTGTAGGGTCACTATGAATTGGAATTGACTCCATGGCAACAGGAGCATTTTCTTATACCTGTTTCTAAAATAAGATTTGAGGCTACTAAAAGAAGAAATGATGAAGTAAAAGAACTGAACAGAAGATTTCAAAAGGTGACTTGAGAAAATAAAGTATAATGAAATGTTCAAAGACCTGGAGTTAGAAAACCAAAAGGGAAGAACACAATCAGCGTTTCTCAAGCTGAAAGAACAGAAGAAAAAATTCAAGCCTCAAGTTGCAATATTAAAGGATTCTATGAGCAAAATATTGAACGATGCAGGAAGCATCAAAAGAAGATGCAAGGAATACAGAATCACTGTACCAAAAGGAATTGGTCAACATCCAACCATTTCAGGAGGCAGTATATAATCAAGAACCAATGGTACTGAAGGAAGAAGTCCAAGCTGCACTGAAGGCATTGGCGAAAAAAAAGGCTCCAGGAATTGACGGAATATCAATTGTAATGTTTCAACAAACAGATGCAGTACTGGAGGTACTCACTCATCTCTGCCAAGAAATTTGGCCAACCAGCTGGAAGAGATCCACATCCGTGCCCATTCCAAAGAAAAGTGATCCAGCAGAATCTGGACATTACCGAACAATGTCAATAATATCACTGGCAAGTAACATTTTGCTGAAGATAATTCAAAAACAGTTGCAACAGTACATCAAAAGAAAACAGCCAGAAATTCAAGCTGGATTCATAAGAAGATGTGGAATGAGGGATATCATTGCTGATGTCAGATGGGTCTTGGCTGAAAGCAAAGAATACCAGAAAGATGTTTACCTGTGTTTTATTAACTATGCAAAGGCTGGGTAGATCATAACAAATTATGGATAATATTGTGAAGATTGGGAACTCCAGACCACTTAATTGTGCTCATGAGGAACCTGTACATAGACCAAGAGGCAGTCATTCAAACAAAACAAGGGGATTCTGCGTGGTTTAAAATCAAGAAAGGTGTGTGTCAGGGTTGTATACTTTCACCATACTTATTCAATCTGTATGCTGAGCAAATAATCTGAGAAGCTGGAGTATATGAAGAAGAATGTGGCATCAGACTCATTAACAACCTGTGATATGCAGATGACACAACCTTGCTTGCTGAAAGCAAAGAGGCCTTGAAGCACTTGCTGATGAAGATCAAAGACTACAGCCTTCAGTACGGATTACACCTCAACGTAAAGAAAACAAAATACCTAACAACTGGACCAATAAGCTACATCATGATAAACGGAGAAAAGATTGAAGTGGTCAAGGATTTCATTTTACCTGGATCCATAAACAACACCCATGAAAGCAGCAGTCACGAAATCAAACGACGCATTGCACTGGGAAAACGTGCTGCGAAAGACCTTTTCAAAGTATTCAGAAACAAAGATGTCACTTTGAGCACCTGACCCAAGCCATGGTATTTTCAGTCTCCTCAATATGCATGCTTCAGCTGGACAATGAAAACGGAAGACCAAAGAAGAAATGATGACCGTGAATTATGGTGCTGGCGAGGAATACCGAACATACCATGGACTGCCGGAAGAATGAACAAGTCTGTCTTATAAGACGTACAGCCAGAGCGCTCCTTGGAAACGAGGATGGTGGGACTTCATCTCATGTACTTTGGACATACTATGAGGAGGGACCAGTCCCTGGAGATGGACATCAGGCTTGGTAAGGTAGAGGGTCAGTGAAAAAGAGGAAGACCCTCGACGAGATGAATTGATACAGGGGCTGCAACAATGGGCTCAAACACAGCAATGATTGTGAGGATGGTGCAGGATTGGACAGTGTTTTGCTCTGTTGTACATAAGGTCACCATGAGTTGAAACTAACCCGATAGCACCTAACAGTAACAAAAACAATAGCACATACTTAGAGATACTTATTTTCCCTCTTTAAACTTAATTTTAAATAGAAATTACTTAAGACTGTAACTAGAAATTGAAAGTAGGATATCGATGCATCTCACACACATACTTTCCCATTAGAAATGTGCACTAAAGAACAACAAGTATACCTAATGTACATTGAACAGCTTTATGGTAAAGGATGGGCTTTATTTCTACGTTTTTCTTGTTTAGTCATCCGTAACTCAGCAAGAAACACCCATTGAATACATTCAATGAGACAAAGGAAGCCGTTATGTTTTAAGAAAGAAAATTGAGCTTTGCTCAGCTCCTCCACCTTTCGGAGTCCCAGTTTTCTTACATTAAGCCCTAAGTAAGGGAAGCATAATGCCTGGCATAAACTAGGTCATCAATGACTGGTTACTGTGTTTTTTTTTAATGGTCAAGAAGATTTTAATGGCTGTTTTAGTTGTAATAAACAAAAGATCTTAAGTTAAAAGAAGAATTTATTAGGAAGATAAAGAAATATCTAATATAATTCATGAAAAAGAACAGCTAGTGGATTACTTTTTCTGACTACAGACCACATGGTCATAGTTTTTACTTTGTGCTCTGTATCTGCTTCATTTTTCTTTTTCTACAGGTAAGATTTCTCTGCATCTACGTGCATAGGGTAAAAAATAGGTACTTGAAAACTAGAGCTTTTATTTCCCAACTTCAGTATCAGTATCATCTACCAAATAACCAGTATCTCTGGGTCCTTATTTCAGATTCCTAGGTTAGAAAACCTGAATGGCTCAGCTTGCGTCAGATCTTCACTCTTGATCCTACCATGTGAGACTGGTACAAACTCCCACCCTATGGGAGGAAGACATGGGCTAGACATAAACCCAAAAGGTGCCTACTACAAAGTTATTCTGCAAAAGCTTACCTTCTGGAAGTTTCTTTAATGAAAGAATACCTTCTGAATTATTCTACACGACTAAAATGATTAGAATGTTATTATGAGATTATAACTCGGTACAACTGCTATCTTTTTTGTAAGAGACAGTACCTTGCTTTTGCATCTTCTTTGGTACGAACACTGCCTTTTCTAGACTGTTTAAAATTTATTTGATAAAGAATATTTAATTCTACTTACCACACCATTTTGTCACTGGAAAGGCAAAAGTGACCTCTCAAGGCAGCCAAAGTAGCATGGGTAGAATATAGATGGAAACCAATGGGAATCCCACAGGAACTACAGAATAAAAGGCTGTAAATGCTGGGGGGGAAGAAAACAGAAGATGGGTAAGAAAGGAAATCAGAGAATAAGTAAAAAATAACCATTCTCTGGAAGTACTCCTATCACCTAAGACATAGGTGAAAAATGTTATAATGGAAATGATATTGAAGAAATGTCATATGCGAGAAAGGTCAGCTCAGATTTTAATATAATTACACTTTAGATTACAGATACCCTTGTGGATGTTAGCCACAAAAGCAATCATGGGTGTACAATTTTCACTTTAGTACAGAAAAGTAATTTACCCCTGAAAAGTGGGAAAACAGTTAACTAATCAGACTAACATTTAAACTTTTAAACCTACAAATCACCATATAAATTAGCTACCATTATACCAATTTCCAGTTAAAGAAAAAGAAGTTGATTGGGGGCTTACTAAGCAATTTATTCATATAACTCAAATCAGGATTTTTCTTGTGCAGATAAAACAAAAAATTAACTTAAAAAATTATCCAGACTAAATGCAAAAGAAAGAAAAGAAAAGGAATCCCATTACCCTAGTAAGTCATCTATTTTCTTTTCCTTTACCTCTGAAGATTACTGGACAAGGAATCTGTAAACGCTGATTTTGGTTTTGGTCATACCATTTGTGTAAGTCATTTACCATATGTACAAGACATATCCGATTATCATAAAGAGATGTTTTGAGAAAAAATTAACCATGTCTGTTTCATCATGCAGGAGAAGAAGGCAATTTTAAAGTGGTTTGGTAAGGGATAAAATTATTCACATATATACATTATACTATGCAGTAAAATTCTAATAAAGTGAATATAAAAATCCTATGGCTAAAAAATAATCATATCAATGAAGACTAAAAAAGAACAAGCAGAAAAATAAATTAATTGGTAAATGAAGTCCCATGCCACACATGAAGCACTGGATTTTTGTGAATACAGGTAACCAAAAAGCAAGTCATGAAATAAAGTTGCATTAATTTGAATTAATTCTTGTGTAGGAATTAATTACATCAGAAAAAGCACAGTACCTATGGACGAATATCTCAGTAGAAACATATATGGCACAGAGCAAAATAAATTTAAAGGCATCTCAACATTATGCCTATCCGTAAAATATAAAACAAATATTCCAGTGAATATTAGTACACAAGAAAAAGGAAAATTTTAATGAATTCTGACAGCAAAATTAATGACATAACAGTGCCTCTGAGATTTTGGAACCATGGGTTATGATAAAATTTTTTTTTAATCTCACACCTTGACCTAAGGACACAAATAGGTTGAAAGTGAAAGGATGGAAAAAAACTATTCCATGCAAATAATAACCAAAAGAGAGCTGGGCGGCAATCTTTCATATCAGACAAAATAGACTTTAAGACAAAATCTGTTAAGAAAGGATAAAGATGGAATTTATATAGTGATAAAAGGGTTAATTAATCCAGAAAGATTTAGCAATCATAAATATATATGCACCCAATATTGGAACACCTAAATATATAAAGCAAACACTGAGAGAACAGAAGGGAGAAATAGATAGCACTACAGTAATAGTTGGAGATTTCAATACACCACTTTCAATAGTGGACAGAACATCTAGAAAGAAGATCAACAAGGAAACAGAGGACCTGAATGACACAATAAACCAACTACACTTAACAGACATACACAGAACACGCCACCCAACGACAGCACAATATACATTCTACTCCGGTGCACATTAATTACTCTCCAGAATAGACCACATCTTAGGCCACAAAGCAAGTCTTGACAAATTTAAAAAGACTGAAATAAAACAAAGTATTTTCTCTGACCACAATGGAGTGAAATCCATAGAAATCAGTTACAGAAAAAAAACCTGGAAAATACACAAACATATGGAAATTAAACAACACACTATTAAACTATCAATGGGTCAAGGAAGACATCAAAAGGTAAATCAAAAATTTCTAAGAGTCAAATCAAAATGAAAGCACAACATACCAAAACTTAATGGATGCAGCAAAGGCAGTACTCAGAGGGAAACTTATATCAGTAAATACCTACATGAAAAACGAAGAAAGATCTTAAACCAACAGCCTAACTCAACAACTCCAGGAACAAGACAGAGAAGAGTAAACTAAGCCTAAACCTACCAGAAGAAAGGAACTAAAGATCAGAGTAGAAGTAAATAAAATCAAAAACAGAAAACAATAGAATCAATAAAACCAGAAGTTGGTTCTTTGGAAAGATCAAAACTGACAAACCTTTAGCCAGACTGACGAAGAAAAAAAGGAGAAAGGATGCAAATAACCAAAATAAGAAATGAAAGCAGGGACATTACAACTGACATGATGGAAATAAAGAGAATTATGACAGAATATTATGAATAACTCTGCAGCAACAAACTGGATAACCTGGATGAAATGGATAAATTCTTAGAAGCACACAACCTACCCAAACAGACTCAAGAGTAAATAGGAAGTTTCAACAGACCCATAACAAGTGAAGAGATCGAATCAGTGATCAAAAATCTCCCAACAACAACTCAAGTCCTGGACCAGATGGCTTCACTGAGGAATTCTACCAAACATTTAGAGAAGAACTGACACCAATACTGTTTAAACTCTTCCAAAAGATAGAGAAGAAAGGAATACTCCCTAATTCATTCTATGAAGCCAACATAACCCTGATACCAAAAGCAGACAAAGACACCACAAGAAAACTACAGGCCAATATCTCTTGTGAATATAGATGCACAAATCCTCAACAAAATACTAGTGAATGAATACAACAGCATATTAAAGGTCGTACACCATGACCAAGGGGATTGACTACAGGAATGCTGGGATGGTCCAACATTAAAAATTCAATCAACATAATACAACACATCAATAGAACAAAAGGAAAAGAACCACATGATCATCTCTATGTATGCAGAAAAAGCAGATAATAAAATCCAACACCCTTTCTTGGTGAAAACCCTAAAGATTGGAATAGATGGGAAATTCCTCAATATGATTCAGGACACATATGAAAAGCCAACACCCAACATTATACTTAATAGAGAAAGATTAAGAGCTTTCCCCTTGAAATCGAGAACAAGACAAGGGTGCTCACTCTCACCAATTCTGTTCAATATTGTACTAGAAGTCCTAGCCTGAACAATAAGACAAGAAAAAGAAATAAAAGTTATCCAGATTGGAAAAGAAGTAAAATTATCTCTACTCATGGATGATAAGATCCTATATATAGAAAATCCCAAAGAGTCCGCAAGTAAACTTCTAGAGAAGGGTGCAGGGTACAAGGTCAACAAACAAAAATCGGTTGGGTTTCTGTACACCAGCAATGAGAAATCTGAAAGCAAAATTAGAGAAACAATCCCATTTACAATAGCATCTAAGAGAATAAAATACTTAGGAATAAATTTAACCAGGAACATGATGGAATTATACAATAAATATTATAAAACACTGCTGAAAGAGATTAAAGACAACTTAGATAAATGGAAAGATGTTTCATGTTCATAGATTGTTAAGATGTCAATACTACCCAAAGGGATCTATAAATTCAACACAATCCCAATCAAAATTCCATTAGCCTTCTTTAGAGGAATGGAAAAACCAATTCTCAATTTTATAGGAATGGTCAAGAGGCCATGAGACGCCCCAAATAGCTACAGCAATGTTGAAAGAGAATAACAAAGTAGGAGGACTCCCACTTCCTAATTTTAAAACATATTATACAACTACAGTAATCAAAAGAGCCTGGTAGTAGTATAACAGTAGACACGCAGACCAACTGAATAGAATTGAGAGTTCAGAAATAAACCCACACATCTGCGGTCAACTGATTTTTGAGAAGGGTGCTAAGTCCATTCAATGGGGAAAGAAGAGTCTCTTCAATAAATGGTGTTGGGAAAATTGGATTTCCACATGCAGAAAAATGAAACAGGATCCATGTCTCACACCATACACAAAAACAAATTAAAAATGGATTAAGGACCTAAAGGTGTGTCTTAGTCATCTAGGGCTGCTATCACAGAAATACAAGTGTTTCAACAAACAGAAGTTTATTCTCTCACAGTCTAATCAGTTAGTAATCCGAATTCAGGGCATCAGCTCCAGGGGAAGGCTTTCTCTCTCTGTTGGCTCTGGAGGAAGGTCCCCGTAATCAATGTTCCCCTGGTCTAGGAGCTTCTCCGTGCAGGAACCTCGGGTCCAAAGGACGTGCTCCGCTCCCAGCGCTGCTTTCCTGGTGGTATGAGGTCCCCTTGTCTCTCTGCTTGCTTCTCTCTTTTATATCTCAAAAGAGACTGGCTCAAGACACAATCTAATCTTGTAGACTGAGTCCTGCCTCATTAACGTAACTGCCTCTAATCTCATCTCATCAACATCATAGAGACAAGATTTACAACACATAGGAAAATCACATCAGATGACAAAAAGATGGACAATCACACAATACTGGGAATCATGGCCCAGCCAAGTTGACAGGTATTTTTGGGAGATACAATTCAATCTATGACAAGGTGCACACTAAAACCATAAAATTCTTAGAAGAAAATGCAGGGGCACTGTTGTTGGGCCTAGCTTTTAACAATGGATTCTCTAATAACAAAAGCAAAATAATAACAAACAGCAAAAGATAAAATAAGTAAATGGGACCTTATAAAACTTAAAAACTTTTGTTCATCAATAGACTTTACCAAAAAAGTGAAAGGACAAGCTCCCAAGTGGGAGAATATCTTTGGAAACCATGTATCTGATAAGAATCTAATAATCAAAAAATATATAAAACTTTGACAACAAAAAAAAAACCCCATCAGAAAATGGGCAAAGGACTTAAGTAGATAGTTCATCAAAGAAGACATTCAAATGGCCACCAAACACATGAAAAGATGCTCAGTGTCATTAGCCATCAGAGAGATGCAAATTAAAACCACAATGAAATACCATTTCACTCCCACTAGGATGGCTAAGATTAAAAACAAAAAAAGAAACAGAAAACAACAAATGCCTGGAGCGACAGGGGAAGAAGGGTCAGGAACAGGAGGAGGAGATGGAATGTGTGGCTAATCGCCCCTGTGAACAACTGCCTCCTTTGCCATGAGACCAGAAGAACTGGATGGTGCCCGGCTACCATTACTAAACATTTTGATCAAAGATTCTATAGAAGAATCTTTGATCAAAAGGGGGAAATGCAGAACAGAATTTCAAATTTTCATGGACTCCAAACTTTCTGGAGCCGTGGAGGCTGGCTGAATCCCTGAAACTACTGCCCTGAGATAATCTTTAAACCTTAAACCAAAAATATCCCCTTAAGTCTTCTTAAAACCAAACAATAGTTTAGCTTAACTAGTAAAAAATGTCTGCCTTGAGCATTATGCTCTTTTAAGAACCATCTATATGGGATCAAACTGACAACAGCAACTCGAAAGATCTGAGTTTTTATCAATGAGGAAGGAACAACTCAGAAAAGGATGGTGAGAATGATCGCCCAACTTGAAGAACGTCATCAATGTCACTGAACTGTACACGCAGAACTGTTGGTGTATGTATGTTTTGCTGTGTATATTCTCAATAACAACAACTACAAAATAAATTTTTTAAAAAAATGTTTAGAAGAAAAATCCACTCTTTGCCTTTGATCATTTGTGTGGTCCCTATTTTTGTTAAGAAACCACAGTAAGAAGAAAATCCCTGAATATCCTTACTATGCACTTTTCAGTTGCTTTGCTCTGCCATTAGGGGTTAAAAACAATCTAGCTTGCTGGGCCTCCATTCTTAAACTGGATAATGGACATTGGTGAATTTGGGGGGGAAGAAACTGCTTACAAATACACTAGCAAGTACAGCTCTCTCTTTCTCAGTGTCCTTATTTGTTAAATGGGGTAACTAAATTGTAAGATCTTCCAGTTACAATATTCTAGGAATCTAGAAGACAATAGGAAATAATACTGAGAAGTGGTTGAAGAGTTGATTTATTGTCTGGAACTTGCTTTAAAATACTCTGGGGGATGGGATGGGGAGAGGAGAGTATAGAAGAAACAAAATTGTCAAAATATTGGTAATTGTTGAAGCTAGGTGATAGGTACATGGGAGCTTTTTATAGCATTCTACTTTGGGTTATGTTTAAAATTTTCCATGATAAAAATTTTAAAAAGAATCAGTTTACAAATATTAATGAATGCCCATCTTAGCTTGTGAGGCATTGATTGTTCAGTGACAGAACTCTTGACTTTCGTGTGAGACCTGGTTCGATTCCCAGTCAATTCATCTCATAAGCAGCCACTATCCGTCAGTGGAGGCTGTCACGTTGCTATGATTAACAGGTTTCAGTGGATGGACTAGGATCTACTTCTAAAAATCAGCCAATGAAAACTCTATGGATCACAACAGTCCAATCCCCAACCAATCGTGGGGATGGCACAGGACCGAGCAGTTTTTCTTTCTACTGTGCGTTGTGCATGGGGTCACTATAGTTGGGGGCCAACTGGACAGCAGCTACCCACATATTAGCTTACCCCAAATAGTTTCCCAAAAATCATACTTTTCCGGGAACTGGCTTATGTCCTTAAAACAAAAAAAAGAAAAGTTTCTATCTCATAGAGATTCTCACTAAAATATTTATGGATGGAATGATATGATTTCAGGTATGTGCTTCAAAATAATAGAGGGGGCAGTGGGTACAATTACAGGTGAAACAAGATTGGCCGTGAGTTGATAACTGTCCCAGTTGAGTGACAGGTGCATAGAGGTTCATTGTACTCTTCTATGTCTGAAATTTTCTGTAACAATTAAAAAAGAATGTACTTTACTTATAATCAACATAAATAAAATTCCACTCAAGGACACGGGGAATCCAGGGTGGAAAGGAGGAGTGTGCTGTCACAGTATAGGGAGAGCAACTAGGGTCACGTAACAATGTATGTATAAATTTTTGTATGAGAGACTAACTTGAATTCAAACTTTCACTTAAAGCACAACAATTTAAAAAAAAAATTCCATTCAAGTAAATATTCTGTTATACACAACAAAGGATCTGAATAACAAAGCTGTTTAAGTGTCAACCCATGTAGCATTGCTTTTTGAAATTAGTTACAATAAATCCTCCAGCAGGCACAGAATAATAGAACGTTGGTGCAAGGAGCCTTGGATCTATCTACCTTATGAGTTGGATTCTAAGATGCCATCAACTGGAAGGCTCATGCCCATTTTAGGATGTTTAAATGTAAAAAAAAAGTGCATCTTAGAATTAGTCAAATATAACAGATTGAGAGGGATTGACTTCCCTCATGTCTTATTAAGAGGTAAAGTTGGAAGAAGAATCCAATTCTCCTCATTCCAAAATTTATGCTCCTTCGGCTGTATCAGAAATTATCCTCTTAATCCATTCTCTGACCCTTGTCTAGATAATGAACATGCATTCTTCAAACAAAGAATACAAGGTGTCTTGAGCTGTGCCGTCTCATAACCCTCTCCACAACCCCCACGGCTCTTCTTATTCCACAAATACAGAAATACATGGGGTTTTCCTGCAGTGTTTCACAAACCATGTAGACCAACACTATCCAATAGGAATATAACGTGAGCCACATATATAATTGTAAATGTTTATTAGCTGTGTTAAAGAGAGAAACAGGTGAAATTAATTTTAATGTTTTATTTAACCCAACATATCAAAAATATCGTTGCAACATGTAATCAATATTAAAAAAAACTTAATGAGATCTCTTACATTTTTTTTTTTAACCAAAGCTTTCAAAATCCGGGGTGTTATTTTACGCTTCCAGCATCCCTCCATTCAGAGTGGCCACATTCAAGTTCTCAGTAGCCACACATGGCTAGTGGTTATAGAACTGGACAGCACATGTCTGGGTGTACTATCCTCCTCCCTAACAGCAGATTCAGAGAGCTTCTGCCTCTGGCCCCAAATCTCCCAATTCCAAGCAGGCCACCACGCCTTCCCTCTCACCCCCTTGAGGGTGGGAAAGAGCCAGTGAGGGGGTGAGTATCTTTCAGGTGGGAAAAAGGAAATGAGCAATGGGTCTAACTTGATTTGCTAAGTTCGTTCAGGCTGCAGAACTCTTCCTGGTTACTGAGAAAAACAACTAAGAATTACTACACTTTAACCCTAAAACTGAACCAAACTGTGGTTAGAATGAATTGTCTAGCTGTTAAAGCCAACATTCAAACTTGAGGACCCTTGTGATACCAACCCATTGCCTTCAAGTCGATTCAGAATCGACTCAACGGAAATGGTTTTTTTTTTGTAAAACCAAATTCACTGAGGATTTTATTGTCACTTGCAAATCACAGTACAAGCAAGATGCAAAGTTTACCAAGCAGTATTCAAGTGCATTAGGTCCCTGGGTGGCACAAACTGTTTGCACTCAACTAGTAACTGAAAGGTCAGCAGTTCAACTCCACCTAGTGGCACCACGGAAGAAAGGCCTGAGGATTTACTTCCCTAAAATTACAGTCACTGAAAACCCTATGGAGCTTAGTTCTACTCTGAAACACATGGGGTTGCCATGAGTCCAAACGGACTGGACAGCAAGCAATTGGTTTTGGGTTTTTTTAGTATTCAAGTACATAATATTCAACTTGTGTTTTCCCCCAGTTTCCTAGTTAAAGACAGAATTAGTCCTGCATGTTGTTGTCGTTAGGTGCCCTCAAGTCGGTGGGACTCATAGAGACCCTATAGGACAGAGCAGAACTGCCCCATATGGTTGCCAAGGAAAGCTTGATGGATTCGAATTGCTGACCTTTTGCTTAGCAGCTAAGCTCTTCATCACTGTGCCACCAGGGCTCCGAGTCCTGCATAGCTTATTACAAATTTCATGTTAAATGCAAACTATAATGGACATTTATCTTTCTTAGCCTAGCTTCACTTGCACTGCTACTAAGGAGATGTGGCCCTCAGAAAGATCTTAAAAGCTACACACAAATATAACTTTTCCTTTCATTGATACATCAAGTTCGTACACAAGTCAAACAGGTAAAAGGAGCATCCTTTAGATATACTGTATTATTGAATGGATGAAATAAACTTTTCTTCTAGCACAAGACAGGAACAAACTGTTTTCCTCCTTGTCTGTGTCAGTTCCAGGCTTCTCAGTCTCATTAAGTCAGGGACTAGACACCGATCAGTCATTCCCAGTCCTTACCTGCCTTTGAGTGAACCTTCAATGCCAACCAGCAAGGGCGCTTCCAAATCGACGTTATTTGTGACTCCTAGGAAGACAAGCATTGGTCAGAAACCGCACCTCTGCGGCCCTTGAAGAGGAAAATCTCTTCCCCTACAGACAGACTCATCGTGGCCGTATTATTTAAAAAAAAAAAAAGACTCCCCAACTGGCAAAGGGGTCATTACCCTTTCAAATCTTCATCCCGTATTCCCAAATCGGCTCCAGGCCACCAAGTGGAGAGAGCGTGAACACTCTACCTCCGCCTGCCCCAGATGATGCCCCCACTCACTAGAGAAGACCACGGCCCCGAGGGACCGCGACAGGTCCCAGGCGAGGTGCACCGAGTCGGCGAGCACTGCGTGGCACTGCGCACACTGGAACACGGCGCACCTCTCGGGCTGCAGCCACGACGGCAGCTGCGGGCCGGCTCCAGGCTCCTCCGCCGCCGGCCCCACGGGGCCGAGCAGCGAGGACCCCTTCACCACTTGCGTATCCCATTCTATGGAAGTCGTTAAAGAATGTTCGTCAGTAGCCTTCTTAGCGCCACCATCACAAAAGTCACCACGCGGCAACTTTGCGTAAACCAACCGATTCCGCCGGGACCGAGCCGCCATTTTCCTGTAGCCGGCGCCTCCGTTTCGAATCCGCGCCAGGCCCCGCCCCAAGCGGGATTCCAGCGTTCTCATTGGACATCGTGTACCGTGGGCGGACGCGCCTTCACACGCCCTTCAGCGCTGGGGCGGGGAAGAACGTGCGGCTGATGGGGGGAAAATCAGCCTTTCTATTGGTTAAAGTCTGGAAACTCCGCCTATGAGACCTTTTTAACCAATGGAAGTGCAGCATTCTTAATTTAAACTGTCTATAATCTTTTGCTCAGTCAACGTTTAGAGTGGCGCCAGAGTTTTGAACCGCGTTCTGAGAGTGGTAGACCGAGCTCTATGCGGTCTCCTGGATTGCAGATCGCAATGACCGCACCCTCCCTGGAGGAGCTAGACTCCTTCAAGTACTGTGACCTGCAGAAGTTGGCCAAGAGTCTGGGCCTCCGGGCTAACCTGAAGGTACGGTGTTGGTGGTGCAGGCCGTTGGGCAGGCGGGGTCGGATGAGGGGTTACCCGGGCCGACGTGGTGGGAAGGGACTGAGCCCGACCCGCGGAGGTGAGGCAGCTGTCCCGCCCCTGGGACGATAGTTACGCTATTTGATTCACGGGGGCCCCTCTTAACTCTGCGAAACGGAAGAGAGGCCATAATTTTCACCTTATTCTGGGGCTGACTTCTCCAAACGGATTTGATTTGGTTTTACTGGAGATACTCTGTGATACTTCCTAAGAGATCACTTGGAAACGCAGGCTCAGAAAGTCCAAGGCCTGCCGGTTAATTGTTAGGAAATTGCCGAAATAATTGCCTGGGCTTCTGGAAGACTCCAAACAGTAACACTTCTGTAAATTTTAATAGTGCCTATAATCTTTTTTTTTTTATTGTACTTTAGGTGAAAGTTTATAGAGCAAATTAGTTTCTCATTCAAAATTTTAGGCGCAAATTGTTTTGTGGCATTGCTTGCAATACTGCATTGCGTCGGCACTCTCACCCTATCCCTTTACACTCCGGGTTCCCTGGTTCCATTCGCCCACTTTTTCTGTCCTTTCCCGTCTTCTCGGCTCTGTTTTTGGGCAGGTGTTTCCCATTTGGTCGCGTATACTTGATAGATCCAAGAAACACATTCCTCTGAAGTGTTATAGTTTGTTTTATAGGCCTGCCCGATCTTTGGCTGAAAGGTGAATTTTGGGAGTGGTTTCGTTTCTCAGTCAGAAGGGTTTCCCGAGGCCATAGTGTCGTGGGTTCCTCCAGTCTCTGTCAGACCAGTAAAGTCTAGTCTTTTTTGTGAATTTGATCATTTGTTCTACATTTTTCTCCCGCTCTGTTGGGGACCCTCTGCTGAAATCCCAGTCAGAGCAGTCGGTAGCGGTAGCCGGGCGCCATTTAGTTCTGGTCTTGGGGTCATGTAGGCTGTGGCTGGTTCATGTGCATCAATTAGTCCTCTGGACTAATTGTTCACTTGAATGTTTAGTTTTTTTTCACTTCCCTTTGCTCCAGACTGGAAGAGACCAATAGTTGCATCTTAGACGGCCGCTCACAAGCTTTTAAGGCCCCGGACGCTACTCACCAAAGTAGGACCTAGAACACTGCCTTTAAGAACTGTGTTGTGCTAATTGACGTAGATGTCCCCCCAGTCTATGGTCCTTTGCCTTCGAGCCTGGGAACTTCATCCTGTGAGGTGTTTAGTTAAGTCTAAGAGGTTTCCCCGACTGTGTCACTTGTGTGCTCTGTTGTCTATATTAATATATGAGGAGCACCTACAGTAAAGTGTTTAGAAATTTCCACCTCCGCACCTGTATCTGCAGGTGGGCGTGTTCCCTTACTCCCTCCCTCACCTCTTGGCATATTTGTGTATCCATTCGTAGGTTATTGTTTGTTGATTCTATTGTTGCAGGATTATCTATGCTATAGTAGTGTAGTTACCATAGTTGTCCCTTATTCCTGGGTTCCTCTCAGTGACCTCTCTTGCCTTGGTCATGTCATGCTGACTTCTCCCGTATTGTGTGTTGCCTTTCCCTTCACCCTTATTAATACGTGTCTGCTATCTCTTTGGTAATTTTCCCTCCCTCCCCCTCCCATACCTGGTAACCATCGAAGAGGTTTTTTTTTTTTTTCCCTCCTGTGTGTAAATCGTTGGTTGTTACTTCATAAAAGCAGTCTCATGCAGTATTTTTCTTTTTGCGATTGAGTTCTTTTCACTCAGGAGCCCTGGTGACGCAGTAGTTAAGAGCTCAGCTGCTAACCAAAAGGTCGGCGGTTTGAATTCACCAGCTGCTCCTTGGAAACCCTATAGGGCGGTTCTACTCTGTCCTGTAGGGTCGCTATGAGTTGAAATCAACTCGATGGCAACAGGTTTGGGATTTGTTTTTTTTTTTTGTTTTTCACTCAGCCAGCCGACCTCCATATTCATCCATGTTGTGAGATTTTTTTTGCCCATTTATCATTATTCTTTATCATTGCATAGTATTCCATTGTGTGTTGTGTGTACGTACCATAGTTTGTTAATCCACTCATCTGTTGATGGGCAGGCACTTAGATTGCTTCCACCTTTTTGCTATTGTGAATAATGCTGAAATGAACATGGGTGTGCATATATCTATGCATGTCATGGCTCTTATTTCTTTAGGGTATATGCCTAGGAGTGGGATTGCTGGATCATATGCTAGCCTTTTTGAGGCAGCGCCGTACTGTTTTCCATAGGGGTTGTACCGTTTTACATTCTCTCCAGCAGTGTATAAGCATTCCAATCTCCTCACATCCTCGCCAACCTTTGTTATTTTGTTTTTTTGATCAGTGCCAGTAATGTCGGGGTGAGATGGCATCTCATTGTAGTTTTGATTTACATCTCTCTAATTGCTAATGATCGTAAGCATTTCTTCATATGTTTGTTAGCAACCTAAATGTCTTTGGTGAAGTGTCTATTCATATCCTTTGCCCATATTTTAACTGGATCATTTGTCATTTTTTTTACTGAGGTGTTGAAGTTTTCTATAAACTTTAGAGATTTAGACCCTTGTCGAATATGTCATAGCCAAAAATTTCTTCACATTCTGTAGGTTCTGTTTTTACTCTTTTGGAGAAGTCTTTTGTTGAGCATAAGTGTTTAATTTCTAGGTGGTCCCATTTATCTAGTTCATCTTCTGGGTGTGTACTTCTAGTTATGTTTGGTAATCTATGCCGTATATTAGGGCCCCTAGCAATGTCCCTAATTTTTCCTCCATGATCTTTATAGTTTTAGGTTTTTTATTTAGATTCTGATCCATTTTGAGTTAGTTTTTGTGTATGGTGTGAGGTATGGATCCTTTTTCATTTTTCTACAGGTAGATATCCAATTTTGCCTGCACTGTTTCTTGAAGCGACTGTCTCTTCCACAAGCGACTGTCTCTTCCACATTCAGTAACCTTTGGTCCTTTGTCAAAGATCAGCTGTCCATAGGTGGGTTCCATACGTGTGGGTTCTCGATTCTGTTCTATTGGTCTATGCGTGTGTTGTTGTACCAGTACCAGGGTGTTTTGACTACCGTGGCTGTATAGGAGGTGCCTATAATCTCTTCATACGTTAAATGGGGGACCTGGCAGAAAGAATGACTTGTAAGGGAGCACCCACCGTGGACAAATTTTTATAATTGAGCCCTGATCTAGTATGATGATTTATTGGTTACTATTGTGGTGGTGGAGCCCTGGTGGCACAGCGGTTAAGAGCTCGATTTGGTTGGCAGTTTGTAATGCACCAGCCGCTGCTTGGAAACCTTATAAGGCAGTTCTGCTCTGTCCTATAGCGTTGCTATGAAGCAGAATCTACTCGATGGCAATGGGTTATAGTTGTGGTGGTGCTTCAAAACCAGTAGTATGTTTGCTTTTGAGATTGCAAACTGTTGCAGAGAAACATGGGGATTCAATATGGAATTGATGTTTTGTATATCCTAATTGTTTTCACACAAAATACTAATGTATACTCAAGATTTGTACTACAGGCTGTGGTGTTTACACTGAATGAATGCCTAAATCAGTCATCCCAAGTGTTTTTGAATGGTTTAAAGAAAATAATCAGTGCCAAGGCTTGGTACCTGTTGGGGTTGAGTGATAAAGGAGTATCCTTGGGGATATTTCTGAGCTATAATATTTAATGCCCCCTCACCACCACCACTCAGTATTCATGAGCAAAGCCTTAATTCCTTAGTTAAAATTCCTTAGGCTGTTTGCAGTCCAGCTGAAATCTTATCCTACGCTGCATCCAGACTGGACTGGTCCCTAATACTTGGCACATTTGTTCATCTTTGTGCTTTTGCTTGTTTTGATCCTTTAGCCTCAGATCCCCTTCTCTCTCCCTCTTCTTTATCTGCAGTTACCCTTCAAGTCTCCCAGACTTGGAGCCTCATCCCTCTCCATTCCCTTGGCCACAGGCCCACCACCCCAGAAATCCAGAACCCTCTGTGAGGAGCAGTTTATTCCCAAGTACTCTCTTTGAGCACTTTCAGGGTTCCACTTTGCCCTCTGGTTATTTGTGTAAATGTGTTATCTTCCTTGCTGAACATTAAGTTCTTTGGGCAAGTAGCTCATCCATCCGCCTTAGAACTCTTTATAGCCTGTAGTACAGTAGGTTTTGTGCATGAGATACTGAATAATTATTCAAAAGTATTATTTAAAACTGCTTCTTGGCAGTGTTAGAATAAAGCACCACAGGTTAGTTCGGTTGGTAAAAGAACTATAGTAGAGGCTTTTCACCTGAGTTCAGAGCTCTGGCTAACATTAAGGCCCCACACCATTTGGATCTCGGAAGAGATCAATTAATCACCTGTTTTCATAGAGATGATTGGGGGGGCACTACAGTATTTCCTGTCACTACAGGCTCCATTGCCTGCCTAGCACACAATATCTGGCACATAATAAGCCAAAAAACCCACTGCTTTCGAGTCGATTCCGACTCATAGCTACCCTACAGGACAGAGTAGAACTGCCCCATAGGGTTTCCAAGGAGCGCTTGGTGGATTCGAACTGCTGACCTTTTGGTTAGAAGCTATAGCTCTTAACCACTACACCACCAGCGTTTCCCTGGCATATAGTAGGTGTCAATAAATATTTGTTGGAAGGTACTATTTCCCAGACAAATCTGACCATACAAGGCTTTATTATAATCAACTAAAAAGACACTTTTGAGATGATTGGGGCAAATTAAACTCGGACCAGGTATTAAATTAAGTTATTATAAATTTTGTTGAATGGTTATGTTTGTTTTCTTTTTTAAAAAAGTCCTTATCTAAATGGGCACACCAACCCAGGGGCAAGGACAAGAAAGCAGGAGGGCACAGGAAAGCTGATAAGGGGGAACTCAAGGTCAAGAAGGGGAGACTGTTGACATGTCGTGGGTTGGCAACCAATGGCACAAAATAATATATGTATTAATTGTTTAATGAGAAACTAATTTGCTCTGTAAACCTTCATCTAAAGTACAATTTTTAAAAAAG